TTATAAGGTTTCTTGGCTCAAGTGTTAGACTTTTCAGATAGAAAAACATTATTTACTTACTGGAATGAGTGTGTTTTTAAAAAGAATCAGTTGTTCCATGTAAATGATGCAGTCATGTTTCTATCTGTTCCTTTAGAACAAATGAATGTGCTCAGTAGTGTAGACATGAAAAGAAACAGAATGCTTACTTGAGGGAACAAAGTCTCTGTAGCTTTTCATTCACCTTCTAGTTTGTTGACACTGTTGGAGAATTTAATGTCACTGCACTGAAGTTAACCCTTGAAGTAACAAGTCAGTGTTATATATAATGGTAGTTGTAGATACAGTAAATGATGAGTGAAGTAAATTATGTCCTTTTTACGAACCCGACTTTAAGGGAAAACACTTCAGAAGTCTGAGAATGTCTCTTGACTATTATTTTAACTTGAAGACTAGAGTGTGTCTGCCTTTCCTAAAACAGTAAAAGGGATAAATCTTTGGTAAACTAAAGGTGTCAATTTTGTTGCATAGTTCAGTCTGTAAGCAGCAGGTGTTTACTGTGCTTGGCAGTAACAGCATTAGTGAATGCTAGGTTCCTCCAGGCTGTTAAAATTAGCAAGCTGAATAGTGTGCAAGTCACCTCTTTTCATTCTTGTGTTCTAATCTTTTCCACCTTGCATTAAGAGTACAGTTAGATCTCACCAAGTTTTGTTCTCAGTGTTTCTATAAATATAGTGAAACTGCCTTGTGAAAAAGTCAATTAAAATTACTATCTTTGCTAGGAAAGTAGTATGATAGGCATCTTAAAATGTAATAGAAGGTAGCTAGATGCTGGGGTGTTGTTGGAGCCCAAATTCTCTCAAAAGCCAGGAGACTGAGAAAATTGACTTGTGCTATCTGTTAAAGGAAGTTACATTAAAAAAAAAAGCTAAGATGTTACTTATATCTGCATGTATATCATGTGCTGCCAGTCAAAATCTGTTCCTAATAATTAAGATACTGTCACAGTCCTGATTTGAGAAGTAACAAGTGCTTATGAAGATCATAGAGGCTACACGGGCAAATTACTTAACCAAAAACTATCCCTGTATTGGCTAGGTGAGTAATATCTTGTTGTGATCTGGCTTTTCAGATACCGAATTATTCTTTTGTCTAGTAGTGAAGTTGCTCTGAAGTTAATCCTGAGCAGCATGTAGCATCTTGTTTTATGTATATCAGAGCTACTTTTTTGTGACTGTTCCAGTAACTTTGTCTGAGCAAAGATGTATAGAAAGATGTAAACTACAGTAACATTAAATTTTAAAAAAGCATCTCAGTTTTGAAAAGTTTTATCAGGAGGAAGCCAAAAGAGTGAAGTGGCTGAAAATGCTGTGTTAAGATGGTTGTATTGTCATGCTGACTGTGATGTTGATCCAGAAGGACATAGACCAGGAAGATGATGTTCTCTGAGAAGCAGAAGCTGTTAAATTAAGGAAAACTAGAAGGAGCAAACAAAATAAAGTCTGTTAAGACAGAGGGCTTAAACTGGTTTGCCATGTACATTAAAACCTGAAAACCTTGCACATCGGAAGCAAGAAACTTGCTACTCACTAGGACTCAGAGACATGAAAGGCCACCCAGGAGAAGTCACATCATGTATTAAAATTAAGTGAACTAATAGCATTACTTTTTGTCGAAGAAGAGACCTCTCGCCAGAATGTTCTTTGTCTCCAGGCAACTGTCATTTCAAATTTAAGGAGTGTTTAGAACCATCAGCAGAATAACTGTTGTGCAGCCATGTCTGGTGGTATATGCTGCAGAGCTCCAGAGGAACATAATCATGAAACCATGGCATAAGGTTTGAACTTTAAATTGGTTTTGATTGTCTAGCTCCAGTACTGTTGTCCCATGCAAACTGAAGTGCTGCCTTGCCAGTGCAGGGTAGAAAATAGGAAGATGACTTCTCAAAAAGTACATCAGCAAAAACAGGTAGCCTAGTGATGGGTGGTATTCTTCTGAGTCTTTCATGATATGGTTAAGAATTGCAACAGTGTTAATCATCTGAACCAGAAGCTCAGTGGGGCACTGAAGTCAGAGTGCTTGTGTGCTTGCTGTTTTTCTGACCTTGGTGACACACTAGGGGCTGCTTTTGAAAGAGAGCTGTGTATGGTAGAGGCTGCAGTGTGTGGGGGAACTGGGACCCCTTTTATTCTACTTCCCTAGTATGGGATGGCCACTGTAAAAGCATATTTTTTTTCAAGAATGTCTGGATCTCCTGAAATAGTTGTATGGGGTTGATATCATAACTAAATAGAACTTATTTGTGTGAATAAACATAAATGGGCTAGTGCATGCTTTAATAAAGACAGTTGTGTCTCACAGGTCTAATTTTCTTGAAGGATTCATTGTTAATCCTTATTCATGTGGTCAGTCTGATAACACAGAACTGTTGTATTTTTTCAGAAGAATGAGATTCATTTTTGAAGACTTTGTAAAAACTGAACAGTCACAAGTTTGTGGGGTTTGTGGCTTAAATTCTTAGAAGTAACCAAAGGAGATAAATTCTTTATTTTAAAATAAGAGAAGGTTGCCAGTGGAATTACTCAAGACTGTTGCTTGATATGTTTATCAATACCTGGAGGGAAGAAATGAATGTGAAAAGGATAGAAAGGATAATAGAAAACTAGAGCTGTCTGCAGACAGTTGCAGTGGGAGTGCATTGTTCATTGGATTATAAAATTGCTGATAAAATTAAATTCTAGTAAATATGGAATTGTGAATCTGAACAAAAATAATTCAGACTGAATATAATGAGTGGGTAGCCTTTATGTGGTGGTTATTGTTCAGAAAACACCTTGAAGCTCCTTCATAATGGTTTCTTTTAAAGAGCAGCTGTATGCTCAGATATCCTGAAATAGCAGTTAGCGACAATCTTTGCAAAGATATGGACAATAAAATGAAAACAGGTGTGTGTCATGGACTGAATGGTAATTATTTATTGACTCTGTGTACATTTCTGGCCGCTTGTCAGAAAACATGGGGCAACTGAGAACAAGCTGAAGGAGGTTAGCAGTGATCAAACTTTGGATGTGCTCCTGTATAAGGAGAGAAGAATAGATGAGGTAGAGACAAGTGGATATGAATTGAGAGCCTGAGGAGTGGTGTGCTTGAAGATGAACTGCCAGTAATAACTTCTTTCTCCCAAGAACAAGAGCATCAGATAAAATCATTAACAGGCAGCATTTAAAAATAAAACACTTCTTTATTCTGATGCATACTTAAATTCTCATAGAATGCCATGAGTGACAAAAACAAATGGACTAAAAAACCCTGAAAAAATCAGTGGAAGAAAAGTCCTTTGAGCTAATACACATTGTGGTTGCAATCTACCCCAAAAGTATGTCAAATGAAAATATGAGAGGCTTTGAAGGATTGCTTCAAGGGAGTTGGATAACTGCTTTGTCTTTTTCTGTTTTCACCTAGTATCTGCCTACTGCTGATTTTTATAAGCAGGACAATGGGAAGACTTTAGTTTGGCCTCACTGCTGTTAAGTGCATTCAAGTGTTTTCTTCATTGATCTTGTATTCTTGGGAATGGGAAAAAAACATGCTTTCTAGAAACAAAATAAAACAGGAGCATGTTAGTTTGTAATTTCTGACTTACTCTGAAGTTTTGAAATCAAGAAGATTCACCAACAAATTGAAATGTTTAGTTGTCTGCTGTGTAGTTAAATGTTCAAATGTGGATCCAGGCTCAGCTTCAGATAAGAGAAAGGGCAAATAGTAATTCTAAATATGTATGCCTTTTAGAAGTATCTTTGTGCTTTGCTGCTAAAATCTCTTTGTGTATAGAAAGGAATCCTGACACTTAAAAATTGGGCATGTGGTCTGTTGGAGGCTATCTGTTAAAGTGGGAATTCTCTAGCAAAAGTTTCAAGAGGAGTTAAGAGTGCTGTTAGAGATGTGTAAAATTTTCCTTTTGGAAGGCTAAGTATGTTACCTAAGGATTTAACCTGTTTTTGTTTTGTGTTTTAGGACAGTATTTGGATTTCACTACAGTGTTGAATTGATGTTACTTGAATTAGAAATCTAAAATACATTGACATCAAAAAGATATTTTTGTAAATATGGTAGCAGTAATTTGCTTTTTTTTTTTGTCATGACTTGATGCTTTTCCATTGAAAGCAAACATAACATTCACCAGAACTCAAACTGATCTTTCAAATTTGGCAGTAAGTGTTCAGTAGTATCAGTAGATGAGAAACAAAAGAATTTAATAAGTGTATAAAGATCCAGTGTCAGAACTCCTCATATCACACTGGTATTAATGTACTTTAAACTTGAGAATATATTTAACACTTCTTCTACTCTACTCCGAGTAGTTCAATTGGAAGGTCACTTCCTGTATGAATGAATGGCTAATAAAAGCCTTGAGTGGTCAGAGGAATCCCCATTTGTCAAAATGGATGCCTTCACATCAAGGAATGCTCAAATGTCCCTTTTATTGTGCTCTACAGAAACTTATTAATGCCAGTGCCCTGTTTCTAAGTCTGTGTAAACTTCCACGTACAAAGAAGTAAGAACCCGTGGAAGAACAAACCTACTTGAAGATTTTAATTGTTATTGTGCTGCTTCACATTTGGATTAATGTGTAGTTTTTTAAGACTACGCTTATTTTTTTAAAGAAAGTAATCTCTCGGAATTGGGAATTTAATTTGACCTTCACTGTTGAGCCAGTAAGAAAGTAAATGTCTACAAGTGTTTGCATCCTATGTCTTTTCACATCTTTAGCTGATGTGTTGTTGAGATTACTGTGAGGTGCAGCCATGATAATCAAGTACAAATATATCTGTCCCAGATCCCAGACCCTACAGTTTCACATATGAAAGCCTAATTGTGTGGCATTTACGTTTTCTTGAAAGTACTGCTGGTTTTGTTTTTAAATGGTTATATTAAATAAAGTCTATGGCCTGTTTTTGTTAAAATTTATTGTAATACTTAAATCTACTTTTTAACTGATGCTACTTTCTCCTGTAGACTACATGAAGAAATAATTGACTTCTATGACTTCATGTCCCCTCGTCCTGAAGAAGCAGCTATGAGAAGAGAAGTGGTGAAAAGAATAGAAACAGTCATCAAAGATCTTTGGCCTACAGCTGATGTGAGTGTAGTTTAAATGTTGATTTGCTTCTGTAGTAAGTTGTAGAGCTCAGTTCACTTAACCTTGCTATTATCTTTCTGTGTTTTAGAAATGAACAGATAAGACTTCAAACTTAAGGCAATTGACTTAATATCACAGCTCTTGCAGTACTTAACCATTTATTTTAAAAAGTGGAGGAAATTTAAAACTTATATTTCAGGTTAATGAAGACTACTGATAATTTTTTCATTTTGAGAACTGATGATGTGAACTGTTCACTTTAAGTAGTGCATTTCTTAAAGTAAAAGCTTATTAAATTGCTTCTGCATAACTTCGTTTTGAATATTAAAGTGAGACTGACTACCTATTATATCTGTTTCTGCAAGGAGTCCTGACAGGATGTTTGTAAGTGTAAATACTTTATGTAGGAAATGTTAAAAACTCCAGATTTTTTTTAGTTCTCTTCACAAATTTGTCATTCAGGGAATTACTTTAGCCCTGCTTTAGTGGAAAAATTGGACTTGACTTCTTGAGATATCTTGCAATCAAAGATATTTTCAAACCCTTTATTACCCCAAAAGTAAGTTTCCTCCAAACAAAAAAGCATCTAAATGGAATGTAATGTAAACTGTATCTCTAGCATCACCTTTCTGATTACCAGATGTACTGTTGTCATTAACAAGCAGAAAAATGTTTCAGAAACATTGTGCTTTCATAGCCTTCCATGACAAAATGAGGGCTGTACTCACAGTACTGAACTAAAGTTACTGAAAAGCTCATTCATTCTTATCTGTGATTTTTTTCCTTAGTAAGAACATCTCTCTGGTTTGTGGGAACAGATATAAACATTGAAATGGCCCAGTATTGCCCAGCCTTTTTCATAGGTCACTTCTAAAAAGTGAATTTGCAAATTGTGCTTTGCTGTAGCAGAGGGGAAAGAATGTATGGATTCTCTCAAATGTTTCCTTTAAACTCTTCCAATTTCAGTAAAGCTGTCCTATGAAGGAAGAAGGAAGCTGAAAGAAATTTATAACAGCTTCTATATTTGTCAAACTGGAAATAAATAGTGAAAAGAACTTGCTTCAAAAGTTTGTGCTCCGCTGATAGTGGATTGGTAGTCATTTCATGTCAACCCCCCCCCAACAATTTCCTCTAAAGTTGCGGTTTCCTCTGTAAGAGGCAGTGTATTTGTACAGGCTTGACAGAGTATGTAGTAAAGTAAGTTCAGTAAATTTTTTTTACTGGGCTATATCCTTATCAAATCCAGAAAAATCTTTAGTGTTGTGGAAGTAAATGAAGTGAGCATTCATAATTAGAAGATATTTCACTTGTTTGGGTTTTTTTTTCAGGTCCAGATATTTGGCAGCTTTAGCACAGGGCTTTATCTTCCAACTAGGTAAGTAATAATTTACTATTTACATAAAAGCTTGTCATCTTTTAGAGTAATGGTAAATTTCCAAGAGGAATTTAGGCTGGAATGTGTAAACCTATCAAATGTTCAGTAAAATTTGTCTAATGTCCCATGTGACAAAGGAAAGAGCTTTTGAATTTACATATTAGAGATAAGTGTTTGATATATCATTGTACTGCTCTAGGTACTTACTGACCCTTTTGTGAATTATCTTTTCTTCCTTGTGTCTGGGGTTAGTCTTTGGCTCTTTGTTTTCAAGATACAGTGAACTGTTGAGTATTTCCTGTGTAAAGACTGTGTTTTGCTAAATAAGGTGAACAGTACTTAATGTGTCACTTATCATGGAGTTACTGGGCAGAAAGAGGAGTTACCACAGCTGTGTTTTCTCATATTTGGACAGCAAAATGTCTTCAGTGTTTTATATTTCTTAATGTTTCAACAGATGGATCTAGAAAAGCTGGGTAGCTGTGTATTTAAGATGTGTTGTCTTTACATCAATTAAATTTTCAGTAGGAAAGTGCTGGAAGCTTCATTTCTGTGAATAACAATCACTGATAAAAATTGTTTGGACTATTGACATGCCTGTCAACATAGGTAGATAAGGAATGGGATTGGGCTGTGGAAGTTGGAGGGAGCCAGAACGGCAAAAGGGTGAAGAGCTGAAAGAACTAATGAGAGAACTGGAAGCAAAAAACTACGATATGACTTTGGGACCTAAAAGCACACTAGGCCATCTTTCTTAACATTGCAAAGGAATCCTACTAGGAACCTCAATTGAAAGTTGCAAAATGGGTTCCCTGGAGGACTTGTAGAATGCCAGTTTTACCTTTTTTTTTGGTGGGGTATTATGCTTTAGACTTAATGAATCTCATGCTGTGTTCTTTATGTCTAGTGATATTGATTTAGTTGTTTTTGGGAAGTGGGAACGGCCCCCTTTACAGCTGCTGGAGCAAGCACTAAGAAAACACAATGTGGCTGAGCCATATTCCATTAAAGTACTTGATAAAGCTACGGTAAGTAATAGTCTTTGAAATACTGACCTGAAAAGCTTTCAGACCCCTTAAGATGTTGGTGATAAATAGTGTTCTTAATTCATGAAGCAAATGATAATGTCTTATGCACAATGTTTTGCTCAGTGCAAGATTTGAATAGAATCTATATGTGCTCAGCAATAGCACACAGGTTTTTACATGAGCAACAGTAATTCTGTGCTGTATTTGTGGAAAGGCCATACTTCATGCTTATGTTGTCAATAAAGATCTGAAAGTCAGTATTTGCAAAAATCTAGTAATTTAAGTTAAATATTTGTATAATGCTTTTCCAACTGACCTTTGAGAGGACTTTGTTTAGCCAAGGGTTGGTAACTGGAGCTGTCTTGCTTGAAACCCTGATTTTTTTTAGGTTATCTTATTTTTAATGGCATGATGAGGTGTTCCAAACATAACATTTGTTTTTACCTTCCAAAATATGCTACTTAAGAGCTCTATTTCATTTGTGAAACTGATGTGTAATATCTCTTGCATTTGTCTTGTAAGCCTAACAGATCACATTGAATATACAAAAAACTTAAAGTATGAGAATTTTATGTTACTGAACAAGTGGTATTTTCTCCAGGAAACTAAGCAGAGTATTCCAGACTTCTATTAGCAAGTTGTTACGTTTTGTGGTCTCTGAAATAGGGTGACTCTTTTAGGTCCAGAAGGTTCCTGTAGCTTCTGCTGAAGCATCAGTGTATAACAGTAGCTTTGGTGATCTTTGGTTTACCTGAGAATGAGTGGGATTTTCAGAATCAGTGATAGCAGTTAATGATGGAAAATGGCACTAGGCTAGGCTTATCAATTTTACTAGCCTTGTTTTAATTCCCTCTGCTGTTGGTATAAAATCTTACTATACTTCTGCTCTTTTTTTGTTTTCCATTTCAGATTAAACATACAGGAAGCTAAATTTAAAACAAATGTTATCATATTATATTAAATAGTTCTATAATACATTGTTGCCAGAAGAGGAGGTATTGCTACTCCTGCTTTGCTTTTATTCATTCTGGCTTTCATTTGACTCTGCAGTGAAACAGTTCAGCTTGATAAACCAACAGACAGTGCTTTATTTTTTCTGCTAGGCTAGTCTTCTGTCAGTTTAGCAAGTGAATGGTGCAGTGCTGGGTCAGATGAATGCAGTTCTCACATGTTATGAGAGTAGAATATCTCCTATTAACAGCAGTGAGTCATTAAGTGAATTTAGTTGTCTTAAAGCACTGGGATTGCAGCTATGAAGGCAGATAACTAATAGCTATGTGAGAGTACACAAGTGATTGTAAGTTAATGTAATCATACATGCCTGTGTTTTTAACCATCTCACTAGAAAATGTTCACTTATCAGTCAAGTTCGGATTGTTAACTTTTCTCAAACATGTTCCCTTGTCTTGATAGTTGCATTCATTTGGATTGATAGTATCCATGTGTCTTGAGTAAGCTGGGGAAGAGCACCAGTATTACATTTCTGGGGATTCATAAAACCTTATTTTAATCTTTTTAGGTACCAATAATAAAACTTACTGACCAGGAGACAGAAGTGAAAGTTGACATCAGTTTTAATGTAGAAACTGGTGTGAAGGCAGCTCGATTTATCAAGGAATACATGAAGGTATCAGCTGTATAATGAATGTTATATTACTTAGCAAGGATGTGCTAGATTCTTAGCTAAACTTTTTTTGGTATGTCTTAAGACTTTTGAAAATTTATTGCTGGAGACTTTAATACTAATTAAACATGGATATTTTAATTTATCTTCTACTGGTATCTATTCAGTGCTGTCTTGGAGTGCTAGGTGTTTGTGTAGATAAACCAGGGAATTCTACATTCATATCTAGGTCTGCAGATATGTACTAAACTTTATAGCATACTACTGAATAACATTTTTGTATTAGAAGATGAATCTTGTGTTGAGATTGTGTAGTTCTCTTTGTTTTGGAATGTTGACATTGTCATTGACAAGACTTATTTTGCTTTGCAGAAATATTCTTTGCTGCCTTACTTGATTTTAGTACTAAAACAGTTCCTCCTTCAGAGGGACTTGAATGAAGTTTTTACTGGTGGAATTAGCTCTTACAGCCTAATTTTAATGGCAATTAGTTTCCTGCAGGTGAGTCTGTTCCTTCTTTGTGTTCTTTAAAATAGTTTGGTTTCTGTACTTATGCCCTGTTATGGTGATGTTTCTTTAGACTCCTCTTGCAATGTACAGCTTTACTGTTATGGCTCTAGGTGTTTGATCATTGGTAGATCCTGTGGAGTATCTCTCAAATATCTAAGAACTTGTGTTCACTGTGTGAATTGAAACATGAGCAGGAGCCTTATGAATGGCATAGAGGCTGTGCATTGCTTTCTATACCAGGGCCTGTGATGTGGATTACACTACCTTCCTGGGCAGCCAGTTTCAGTACCTGAATCATTTTACTAGTGTTTTGTAAATCTGCCAGGATGCAGCTTAAGTCTGTTACTTCCTAGACTACTGATACTGAATGTGAAGAGTAATTGATTTCAGTGCCTGTTAAAATTATGAAATCAAACAGTCAAGTAGTTGTTTAATTAAATGTTGGTTAGGCTTTTCCGTATTTAAAATGGGCAGATAGTGTAAGTGATGAAACAGCTAATGAGTTTTAACTTCTTCCAATGCATTTTTGTGACAGTAAGCTTTTTGCGAGTGTGCTGAGGTACAATGTTAGCATCTCTCAGCAGTGGTGTTAAAAGACAAGCCTACATATTCTGCTGCTGTTAATAATTGAAATATTGCTTCAGATCTTACATACTGTATATAATATGGGGAGATTGAGGAAAAGAACTGTATTTCAGTTGGGGTAAATGGATTTCACCCCACCCCCCTCCCTCACTTCTGAAAATATAAAGATTGATGGATTTTCTGTGAAAAACTGGTATTACTCTGTTACTAAGCCCAATGTTGTATGCAGGATTTCTTTATTGCTTTTGGTTTATGGAAAATAATTTACTAATCCTCAAAAAGCTGGAAGAGGAGGGAAGGAAGAATTCTCTGGTTTCCAGATACCGCTGAAGTGCTGCCCCCTCTTGGTTACGTGAAAGTAGTTTAAGTATGTGAAGAGTTAATGACTCAGTTCAGATTTGTGTAAAGAGGTTATACTCAGCTGTTTAATTGAGAGCTCTTTGTTACCCTATGGTATGGTTTGAAAAGAATGAATTTTTAATAATTAACAACTGTTCTGTGTCACAGCTGCATCCAAGAATTGATGCCAGAAGAGCTGATGAAAACCTTGGAATGCTTCTGATAGAATTTTTTGAACTCTATGGAAGGAATTTTAACTACTTGAAAACTGGTATTAGAATAAAAAATGGAGGTGCCTATATTGCCAAAGAAGAAATCATGAAAGTCATGACCAATGGATACAGACCATCCATGCTATGTATTGAAGATCCTCTCCTGCCTGGTAAGCTTGTACACTTCTTGTAGTATTCTGGAGCTCTGTCTTAACTTGTACTCTCACAGTTTATGTTAGAGCTCTGAAGTTTGTGAAATGAGTTAAGAAGCTGCACTGAGAAGAGACTGTTGCTGGTGTCAAGGTACAGTTATGGAGATGGGCTAAGGAATCAGGACCTATAGTTCTCAAGACTGATAGACTGACTAAATGGATTTGGATTCTCATGCAAACAGTGCAGATACATAATGCGTTGGCAATTCAGAACTGCATTGAGTGTATAAGCTTCGCTAACGGTGCTTGAGGGGTAGTAAAGGAAAGAGGTCCAAGAAATCTTGGAATGGGGTTTGTTGGTAGGAACCGCACTTCGTTGTTCATTATGAGAGAATAAGAATGGAAAGTATAGCTTTTGCTGCCACAGTCTGTGGTGCCATACTTCAGACAAATTATACCATATGGGAAGGAAATGCCCCAGATGAGGTACCTGCCCTGCAGGGCAGTGCAGTAGAGACTGCACAGAAACGTGGGTATATATCCATGAATGTATAGCAAGGGAGCAGCTGTATTATGGTGTTAGTGTGAAAAGTGGTTTGCATAACTGGCTTCTGTGCTGCACAGGGACCTTTAGAGAATGCCAGTTATAGCTGCATGTACTTTTGAAAGTAACTAACTTAAAATATCTTTTTCTTTAAGATTTGGTTTTGATTCAGTAACCTTCAAAAGTAATCAAGATTAATTTTCACTGAGCTCCTGAAAAAAATTACCAGCTTTATAGTACTTGGTTTGGATTCTATTTAGACTGTCACAAGTAACTGAAATTCCAAAACATTTTTTTAACAGAAGTCAATTTTTAGTTAATTTGGACTTCAGCATTAGTATTTCTAGAATGTAATTGGCACTCAAACTCCATACTGTCACATCTTGTGGGTAGACTGCTTATGTACAGCACTTCTAAAGCAAATACCATGGATCAGGAGCTGAAGTCTGGCACCTTTCGAAGTACTCAATATGTTGAATGTCCATAGTTCTCTATAACGTGTTGCAAGCTAAGATACTCATTTGTGTAACTACATCTCTGATATGTTTGTGGCAATGAGTTTGTGTCCATCATGACTCCTGCACTTGGCCAGGCATAGGTGTGATTTTTGCGGAACTTTGACTGTACCACTATTTCCTTGTGAGCAGCAGCAGCATGAGATGCATTTTTCTAGAGTCAGAAATCTTTACCGTCCTCCAGTTCTATGCCTTCCTATTTGCTAAGGACTGAGAAATTAGGTATGCTTCACAATGCTTTAATCACTGCTAATAGTGCTTTGCAATTTTTTTCTTATTTGATGACACTTTAGAGAAGGAAAAAAAATAATTTCATCTCTAGTAGGGGCTCTGAACTGTTCCTTCTAGCATAAATCTTGCAGAAGCAAAGAACTATAGTTTAGAAGAAAGATATTTAGTTATAGGCTATCAAAGAGTTGATAAGAATTAAATTTTAGAAGAGGTTATATGGACTAAGATAATTTCTTACAGGAGAGAAAGTGTTTTTTGGCAGGGGAAATGAAAGCTAACAATAACTTGAAATTATCTGATGACTGCATCCCATAGGGATATTTTCTGGCAGCTACCACTGATCTTCAGAACTTGCTTGATGGAACTAGGACGAAAATTATATAGAACATACAGGATGGCTCTTTGAATCGGATCTTGTGAATGCAGCCTCCTTAGATCTAGACTTAATCACATATTCCTACAGTATCTAAAAGTACCTGTCAGGTGTATGTAGATAATTTCTAGAATTCTGCTAATTAGTTTAGTTCTGTTACTGCTAGTGTCCCAGTACAAAAAACTTTTCCAAGGGTTCAGATCCTTACCTAGTTGACAGGTCATCATCCCTGCTTGATTAGTTTGTGGTCCGATCCACTCAGTGTCTTAACTCCGTGAGGATCAGTGTCAGTGAGAGTACTGTGGAGGTGGTGGGAACAAGTATTTTGGTAAAGAGTGGACATAGATGTTTCTTGACTTAAATTAGTGTAAGCTGCTGTAGAGTTTTTCCCTCAATCCTGGTTTTGCACTTTATGTATTTTTAATCTTTTTTTGCAATCCTTTTTTAGCCTGATCACAACTTTCAGAGAAAATTCTGGTTGAACCTTGGAAGAAGACTTTGAAAGATGACCTCTTAATCCAGAAATACAGGGATGAGAAAAAAACCCTTTGAATTTCTCAAGGTTATCCAAGTAGTGTAAAAGGTTCCTCCTATGAGCATTTGTACACTAGTTCAGCAACAAATGCTGAAAGGTGTAACTCAAAAGATCAGCTTTCAACATTTTTTTTAGGGGACAGGATTAATTTCAGTCGGATTAGTTCTTTTAATTGGATTTTCTTCAGTGTGAAATGGTGATGTTTGGCTAACAGATAAGTGATGTTATCAGAAGGGTATGATGCTTAGTTCTACCTGATCAGTACCTTCTGTTCCTAGGTTGGGAAAGAACAGGCATCAACCTGTTGTGGTGTTGTTTTGGACATAGTCAGATTCTCCTGGGTGCTGTAGGGTTTCCTCTGAGATTCTCAAAGATTGATTACTGGGTGGTAGGGGATTATAATTTTGGTGATTTGAGAACCAAGATTCCAACAAAGATGTCAGGAGTCTACACTTGAAGCAGGAAGTGTGTTGAAATCTGTATTTGAGATGTCAGATTTATGTAGCAGGTGATACATTTTGAAGTGTTAGTTTATACTTGATCTTCATACATAGCCTAAGATTCTTCATCTTGAGTTAGTGTCCTAGGACAGGGTAATGAGATGAAAATCTCTCCCTTAACATCATTCAAAGAAGGGTGTTTCTATAAATATCTTGTAGCTGCCACCATTTCAGTTTCTCAAAGCAGTTGTCCTTTCTTTGATGTGTAAAAAGTGAAAGCATTCATTTAGGAGAACTGCAAAGCCAGGCACTCAGAAATCTGTTCACAGGAACATGTTGGAGCAGGGTAGATGATAGTATCCTAGAAGAGGTTTGTGTGGAGTTGGTAGTTGGTCTAGCAGTATCCAGTCTTGGAGGATATGACTGGTTGCAGGTGACAAATCTTTAATCTGTTGTTGTGAGACAAATTTGTTATTTATTCAGCAGGGGGGTTTATGATTTTATACCTTTGTGATCAGGTGATTATCAAGGTCCTTCAGTCACTTCTAATGCTCAGAACAGCAGTGATTTTGATCTTGATTCAGATTGGCAGTGGCAAGAGTAGCTAAACTACAATTTAAGATTTTGAGTTCCTCCCATGCTGCTTCCTTCATGAGAGAAGTTGTTCTTCATTCTGAATTCCTATGGTCACTAATAAAAGTTCTAAACCTTAATTTTATTGTGTTTTCTTTGAAAAGAGACTCTCTAACCTGCAGGACTAACTATGCTCCATGTTGCTTGATTCTGCATTTGGATAGGTCATAAGTACAGGAAGTAATTAGGTTTGAGATTGGCAACAACTATGGAGATTTATTCTAGTCTTAGTGGCTGCCCGGAGTTGTTATTGAAGTTTTTCAATGTTTGCATTTTGTCATTAGGACATGCAAATATATGTGTGTGTATATAAAATATATGTATTTATGAAAATACGCAGATACGTTGAAGTTAGCATCTGAAAGAACCCCTTCAACACAGAATGTTGCAAAAAGGTACTTACTAGATAACAGCTTAACATAAATGTATCTGCTTCAGTCCTAGCTCATGGACTTACTTTTGCCTTTCCAGGCCATGTTCTTAAAACTGTTTCAGATAATGGAATACAACCTGACAGTGGTAATACTGGTAGTGAGTGATGGAAGTCTTAGATGTGCTCTTTTAGGGAGGAAGGCTTTGTAAGAAAGAACAAGAATTGAATTATACATAAAATCACACACCATTGTTGTTTGCTAACGTACATCTGAGGATTAAGGTCTGTATGATTTTTTTTTTTAAAGAGCGAGAGCATTTGAGTTACGTGCTTTTAACGGATCATTCTGTGACTAAAGGATGCTCAGCTATGTAAAATGCAATCTACTAATGAGAATGATCTCAAGAAAATATTCAGGACAGCACATGCAAATGTGATCTGGCTTCTTTGATATCTTTGGTTTCTGAATTGGATAGGGCCACATCTATGCAGATGTGGTACAGTTCACAGTAGCTTGTGTAGTGGCTTTGGCTTCCATACCTGCTTTTCAGCTGCAGTGCAAGTCAGAAGCTCTGCAGACTGTATAATTGAATAAGACGTGTTTATTCAGACATTTTTATGAACTAATTACAGGTGCAGAATGAGGCAATCCAGGAACCTAGGCATGCTATGGCATGAGCTATCCTGCCTCTGTTCTCAAATCTGCTTCAATCAAGATTCATACACAACTTCGTTGGTGGTTTAAACTAAACTGCCTGAGTTTGCTGTAAGTGGATTAGGGAAGGCTTATGATTTGCTTTGCCTGCACAGCAGTGGAGGTGGTGACAACTGATGAAAGGAGTAACTAACAGTTTGTAGCAGGGTCTTACTTTTGGTGTAACTCCACGTGGGATGCATGTCAAGTGCAGCTGTCTTAGCACTGGACAAGACTAAACTAATGCAATTTGCTAGTGTGTATTCTTAACTCCTGTTATGTGAATTTATAGAATAATTTAGGTTGGAAAAGACGTTTAAGGTAGAGTCCCACTGTAGGTGGACTTGAATTTAGTGGTAGGTACAATTGTGTGTGTTTAGCTACTTGTATATATTCCATTTTTTTATTGCATCTCAATTGAATTATTTTGTATATATGTTTAGCATGTCATTATGTGGATGGTGGCATTGTTTCAGGACACAGCAATGTGTCCTGCCCCTGGAAAACCTGTACTGAATTTAATAATTATTTTTCTAGTAGAATTAACATTTATGTGTTCTGAGTTCTTGACCAATGAAATACCTTGGTTTATTCAGCTGCTTTTGGACAAAATCTTTTGTGAAGTCCTTTGATACTTTATAGTTCAGGTCTGAACTTAAATATAACGTTTCTTCCTAGATTCATTGTCCTAGGCCCACATTGGTCTCTGCTTCTACTTCAGGATAGAGTCCAATTGCAAATATGCCATTTAGAGAAGCTTCTGTAACTTTGAGCTATAGTAGCTGCTGGATACTGCAGTGGTGCATTCAGAATGAGATACTCAGGTGCTTCAGTAAACAGGAAGCATTTCTTCATCAGTTTTTATCTGACCATATAAATTACTGAAAAAATTCTGTGTTCCCAAAATGCTTTTATGTTCACAATCCATTTTCATTGATTATACTTTTCTGTTAAAGTGGCATTATGGTTGGAAAATCTTAAAGGACTGAAATATGTTGTCAAGTAGTAAAGCCAAGGCTGTTTTTCACTTCTGGCTGCCAGACCTGGCTGTCTGACTACTGGCTTGATGGACAAATTATAAAGTGAAGCATTCCTCTGAAGTCAAATTCAGCCTCATTGGATTCAGTCCTCCAAAGGATAGATTTTGTCCTTTTCCCAATAATTTTCAAAGTGGATTTTTTCATTAAAACCTGTTCATGGGCCCTGATCTGATTTTCAAGCTTAAAATAAACATGTTTGATGGTTCATCCCTTTCTAGTGTTCTCACAGCATTTCAAGCATCATTCTGAAGGAACCTTTTACTGTAAGCAGCTTTCTACCCACTCAAGATCTAGTCTGTATTTTAGACATGCAGTTTGAAGGAAGTTTTCTTTGTGTTCCTTAAATTGAGTGGTGACAGTGAACCTTTGGTGTCTGGTGCCAAATATATCAAAAAAAAACCCCCAAATGTTTCTTCTTGCATGTAATAGCAAGATCTTTCTAGGTGCAGAATGGGAGACAAATGCTTGTATGTTGTCACTGATACAGAAGCTTTACTATGCTCTTCTGAACTTCCTGACACATGGCACTGGATTTGGAAGGAGTTATGCTATAAATGTTATGCTTAGAGATGGTCAAAAAGTTTATAAAGATTATAAATTTATAAAGATGACATAAAAATTTATAAATTTATGAAGAGGGACAGTCAAGAAGTGACACTAATTTGATAAAAAAACAATGCTGTACGAACTTCTGGGATCCTCTATGATAGATTTGACGAAGTGGTTAATTCTGTGGAGATAAATGATCTGTATGAGCTCGTTTGTTAATCAAGAGTTGTGATAAGGTTAAATAGGGGTTAATGTAAGTATACCTGGCCCTATGAAGATAATGTGGTTGCAGAAGTGGAATTTTAAGCTGTATTTGGCCTGCAGAAACTCTACTGGTAAGTGAGACATGATGCTTTAAGCTTGGTAGGTTCCCTCTTAAAACAGCTATAAGAGCTTTAAGCTGATCTGTTCTCTGTTTTTCAGGTGCTGGTACATGTGTATTTTGAAAGTGGTAAATTGAATGCATAATGTTAAGTGTCATTCCTAAGGTTAGCTGCTTTTATGGAGATAGGCACACTTAGTTGCTCCTGATATGAGTAGGATGGGCTAACCAGTTAAGCTGTATTTTTAAAGCTTCTGAGATTTTTAAGTATGAATAATTTTCTGGTTACTGATATTAAAAAAAGATGATCTGATGACTGTCACATTATTTCAGGAAACGACGTTGGCAGAAGTTCTTACGGTGCCATGCAAGTGAAACAAGTTTTTGATTATGCCTACATTGTTCTTAGCCATGCAGTATCACCACTTGCAAGATCATATCCAAATAGAGATTCTGAGAGGTAATTAGTCCACTTTTTGAATATCCATTTGTCTGTGTAATCAATTAGGAATGTTTTGCTCTAAATCAATAAAAGGGATATTGTTATTTATTGTTTAACTGTGGCTGTATTGAAATCTGCCCAGAAATTCAGGCTGCCCAGTGGTATGAGAGTGTATACCTCAATGTGCAGCACTGATATGAAGACAGTGTGACAAAATCCAGGATGAGTCCAATATGAGGTTCTCTTAAGAGTGGAAGGGAGCCAGAAGATAATTGGTCTTTCCTCGAACATTCTTAAAGTATTTCAAAGGAAGGTCTGCTGGTTTAATGTTTGGTATGATGTATGTCTCTGCTATGGCAGAGAAAAATGTGTGTGATCAAATTTCTTGTTTATACACAAAACTACACAAGGCTACTTGTGTAGTTTTCCCTAGGTCTTCAATACGTGCCCCCATAAGCTGTTTTAAAAGGCTAGATATATAATTATGAAAAGCATCAGTTCAGCTTGGCTGTAATGTCAGAACTGCCATTAAAAGTAGCATACTTCTAGATGTGCCATTTTTAATGCAGTGCTTAATATTTTTCATAGAAACACTGTACAGCTAATACTTTCTCAGTTCTCACCTTTGCAACCTTTCTGCTTTTTGAAAGGGGGAGGAGAAAGAAAATGAAGGCATGTCAGCTGTGTTGTATTTTCATTCATGTATCTGCTCTAGCATCTGTTATTCTAACCCTCTGTTACAAATCGGGGCTAGGACAGAGGATGTCTCTTCCCTGAGGCTTCCCTAGAATCCCAATGACTTTGTACTCCCCATCTAATTGCAGGAAAGGATGCTGTAACAAGACTGTAAACCATCTAGGTACAATTCTAAACTCTGAAGCTGTTAACTTCCAGCATTAATGTCATTGGAAGGTGAAATAGCTGTCCTATAGTAAATTTACCACAAAGTGGATGCAGTCTTTCACTTGTGGATTTAAAATCGACAGTATTTTAATAATGCCTGTGAATATCTAGGTTTTCTGTGGTATTAAATTCACAAAGGTTAAGACTGCATGTGTACCTGTGATGGAGATATGGGAAGAGCGGTACATAATGTTACACACTGACATTTGAGACTGCTGCTTTAAGATAGGTTAAGGGTGTATCTGTTAAATATGTACTGACTGACAGTTCTTGTTGCTGATTCATACTTCGCTCTTACATAAGTATAGATAAAAACTTAGGAATTTCTTGAAGTTTTGCTTCTGTCGTGGGTCCTGGCCTTCATTTGGAGAACCTCTGCAGTTCTCCAAAGGATATAGTCATCCTCTTATGAGGTACCTGTATTCATTACAGACATCAGAAAGTATATTTGTAAATCCATTTAATGGAAACCTCAGATATCATCAATATGTGCACTTCATGTATGCTTCTTACTGTATTTGGGAAAAAGTTTTTTTAATTTTGTCACAAATTCAAACATGGGGAGAAGTCCCAGCAGTAGTGTTCAGGTGTTGTACATCTGGCCTGTCTTTCTATTAGTTCTGGGCTATCTGTGCCAGTGATGTATGAGTCTCAGAACTTGTCATGACAGTGGTTTACCATTCTGTCAAAGGGAGAGTGGTGTTGTAAGAGGAACAGCATGCAACAAAGTACTGTATGCAAGTAGTTCCCCCAGCACCAGTCTTGTCAATGTCAACATGATGAGCTTTTTGGTGAGAAGTTTACTGCAGAACCTCAACAGCAGTCTGTGTTCAGTCTCAGTTTTTAGTTAAATCTGATATACTTGGGCAGTCGAAGTGTATTTCAGATCCTTCTTTCATGTGTTAGGTGGAGTTGTCCAGGTTCTATATAAAGACTTTTCTGGTGCCCTGACCTAAAGCCTTAGCCATCTAGGAGCCCATTGTCCTGATGCATTTTTTTCCCCTTTTCTAGGCTTCTTAGTGCTTGGTTAAACTGTAAACAATGGGCTCCCTTTTAGAGCAGTGACTAGCTGTATGACATTCTACTAGAAGGATCAACAGAGACTAAATGAGGAGCACTTGAAAGGGTAGGAACTTGCAGGAGGCTGAACTCCCCAGGCTGACTTGAGTTTATAAATTGGGGCTAGCTTTCCCCTAAGTGGAATGCTTTGTTCTTGAGCTACTTGGTGGGTTTGAATTCATATCAGATCTTTCCAGGGTAAATTTCTGTGTAGAGTCCTATTTGTAGATGGCAATCTCAGCTGATTTCAGATGTGTTTGGGTGATCATTGTTACTTGCTCTTCAGTGTCAGTCCAACTCAGAGGAACACAAGCTTTCTAGCAAGCTGCTGCTTCTGATATTCCCAGTGTGAAAAGAATCAGATTTTGATCCTTCAGCATAGACCTTTTTCTTGTCCATGTTCTGTAGTAACAAGTCTTAACAGAATAACAAGGGGTAGATTGAAGTCACTGTTACCTTCAAACTTCCAAATATAACATCTGGAGTGTAGTGGGAGTTGAAAGCTATCCTCTAGGTGAAAACAGTCATCAGCCAAATCCTAAAAGTCATTCTTACAGCTACAGAAATTACTTTAACACTGTTTTTTTCCCCAGTCTATCTCACCCATCCTCTTTCAAGAACAGCTCAGGAGAGATTGATGAACAGTTTAGTAGATTGTGTTAGAGCAAGAAGATTCCCATCATCTTGGAAGGAGGGGTTTCCCTAGTAGGCAGATGAGGGGACTGGTCTATTTTGAATCTGTACAACTTGTACACAAGGTCAGGTTTGGTGTCGACTTCAGCCAAGGCGATTGAAAATCGCAATTGATTTCATAATAATTGGGGCCATGGGGACATGAGTCTAGCTGTAAAAGTTATGGACAGGATAGCCTCTTGCTTAAGGGTCAGTGTCAGTATGTGCTTTGAAGCTTTAGTATGGTCTTTGGCCATAGCCTGTCTCTAGACAGGAGTGTGTCATCTTAAGTGAGCTAATTAAATTCTGTGAGGAGTGATACTTTCATGGAACCATTTAGGTTGGAAAAGACCTTTTAAGATTGAGTCCAACTGTTAACCTAACACTACAAAATCCACCACTAAACCATGTCCCTAAGTGCCACATTTACACATCTTTTTCAATATCTCCAGGGATGGTGACTCAACCACTTCCCTGGACAGCCTGTTCCAGTGCTTGACAATCCTTTTGGTGAATAGATTTTTCCTAATATCCAATCTAAACCTCGCCTGGTGCAACATGAGGCCACTTCCTCTTGTCCTATTGCTTCTTACTTGGGAGAAGAAACCAATGTCTATGTCACTACAACCTCCTTTCAGGTAGTTGTTGAGAGTGGTAAGGTCTCCCCTGAGCCTCCTTTTCTGCAGGCTAAACAACCCCAGTTCCCTCAGCCGCTCCTCATGAGTCTTGTTCTCCAGACTATTCACCAGCTTCATTGCTTTTCTTTGGACACGAAGTTTCAAGTTAGTGACCATTTTTCTAGTTTTATTCTGTTTGATAAACCACAAGAAATCTTAGCAAATGTTTGGCAGCAAGTTCTTGCTTATTGAGTCATGTTCTTTGAAATAGTGGACTGTTACTACCCTGTCCATGGTCCCTACATTATGGTGCAGTTTTACATTATACCTTGTCTAGCCTAACTATCTGTGGGCTATCTCCTGTCAGCTGCCCTTTTTCTTCCTTCTCAGTCTTGTATGTTCCTGATTCTTGCTTTGGATCAACCTAGCGATCCTGCAGTCAGATGAACTCTCTGGTCTGAGAACAAATACATCAATGCTTCTGTCATGTCAAGAAGTTAATCCAGTTTGTGGCTGTGTGATGGGCAGATCAGAAGCAAGAGAAGCAGCAGGAGTTCCCATCTAGGGGAAGATGGAGAGTGTGGTACTGTAACATTTGACATCCACAACTTACACTGATGTGGATGAGATAAAGATGCATCCTTAAGTTAATCTGTATGTCTGTAGATCAGGATGTTGGCTTACATGTTGATGTATTGTGTGATTCAGATACACATGTGTGCTCAGACTGCCAGCAGTGTAGCCACATTTTGGAAACAGTCGGGGTCATCTGAAATCAGGAATGGAAGACTGGTTCTGCTGTGATGTGCCCTTCCAGTGTAACTTAAGACTTTGGGAATTGATGAAAGGTTTCCAGAGTTGCAGATTGGTAACAGGTTCTTCCTTATTGGTGGAGGTGGATGATGGAAAAGGACTGTCATGCCAACAGGCCAGAGTTCAGAGTTTGAGGAAGCCTTGGCGGGGTTTTGCTACTGTATGTCTGGAGTTCTCATTTACTGATGATAAATCTCCAAAACAACAGTACTCTGGGCCATATATAAAGTGATCTTTCCATATCTCTGCTTTAAAGCTGTTTGTCTCTTCCTAGTGTACAGTTAACTGATCTAATTGCTGATAGGTCTGTATGCTAGGTTTGGGTTGCCTCTAGTTGGCTGTGAGAGTCCTGGGAGCTGTCAAAAGGGATATTAAATTTGTGTGCTTGATGGGCTGACACAGAAAGCAGAAATCTGATCTCTGAAACAGTCCTTCCTTTGCTTCGTGTCTTGAATGGTCAATGGCTGTCACTACAATGCACGCTGTCTCTGAAGAGGTATCAGCAATATCAGCTTTTCCTACACGGAGTATTTGGATAAGACAAATTAGGGGTTTTTTATCCTCATACATAGGCAGATCCTTCTCAGATGCTCCTTAGTCTGCTTTTAGACTGTATTTCCCTTTTAATACCAGGGGGATATTTCATAAATTCAATTATTTTATTGTAAAACAAAGTAGGTATGTGAATAGCTTATTCCTGGTTTTACTGCATGATAATATTAAGGGAAAAACCTTAAAGGAGCATCTTTCATAGGAGAGCTGTCTAATTTTATCAACCAATTACCTGTGTTTTCCATGTCTTCCAAACAAGCATCTTTGAAAAATTGTGGGATTGTCTCATATATCTGTAGAAATTTTGGTCTCTGCCAAAAAAAAGAAACCCAACCCAAAAGTGTGGAATTTCTTTATACTAAAGGCAGGGCAGATAAATAGGTTTCTTGTTCCAAAGCATTTTCAGTGTTGAAAACAAATATAAGTATAATATCTAGATGTTAATTTAAAAAAATTGTTCTCTGACCCTGTGGATGTGCTTGAGTCAAGAGCGGTATCTAGTTTGATCACACTTGCTTCCTTTTCTTTGCTGCTATATTAAGTATATGGCAGTGTAGCCTTAATCACCTTTCAGTTTCTGATGTCTCATAAAGAATGTTTTTAATTCTAGTGTACAAGCAATGTAGCCTGGATCTGCCTTTGAACTCCTGACCTGATAACTTTGTGAATTTCTTTTTTTTCTGCCAAAAAGAGAGCTTGGGGCTTTGATCTCTATTCTTGGTGAAAAGAGCTAGTGAGAGAAGAGCTTCCCAGGTCCTGTATATGCAACTCTGCCGTAATTGTTGGTGTAGCAGTATTTTCACCCTTTACATCTATTTGATCACACATGATTTTGGTATATCAGCCAGGCTGATAAAAATACCATTTTATATCAGTCACTTTCCTTCTGGTATATGAAGGCATGACTATTCATTTGCTTTTGGCATAGTACTCCAAGAAGCTTCAAAACTGACAAACTCCTTCTCCATAAGAGTTTGTGTTATTCATTCCATGTTAATTTTCTACTTCGAAGACCACAGCTGGTAGTAGCTGTGAAATTTATAGGTTAGCCTGGAGCAAAAGCTCAAATCTTCCTGAAGGCATTCTCAGATGAAACTTTTTAGCTACAAGATTTCCTTCTCTGTCTCAGTGTTGAGGAGACCCAGCATGTGTATGTTTGTGTCCCCTATTGGCATTGTTGTCTTAGGAACTGCAACTTCAGGGCTACAGCAAATTCTCTGCATTATTGGTCATCCTTGTCTTCATTGTCTCCTCCGACTTAGCTTCCTTTTTGGTATTTGAGAGACCATAACTGCATCGAGTATTTAAAATGCTGTTATGTCAGGGGAGTGCGCTCTACTTAGTTATCGAACTGTGGTTTCCAAAGAATTACCTATGATAACCCACATCTTTAGTTGCAGAGTGGTGACAATAAAGCCTTTAATTCTGCATGTAAAATTCAAGATTTTATTTTCCATCATGCATCATTTTACCTACATTACATAAATAGAATGGTGAATGACATTCATTCTGTCTGTGAGGCCCTTTCTGCAGCTATTGGACTTGTATGTTATTTGGTTCAATGTTTGCTTCAAATGCTGGACTGCCTTTTTTAGTACTAACACTGACATGTCTCTAAAGTTGGAATACTAGACATGGAACATGTGGTATTTGATCTTGTGTGAAATAGTAATCCCTAAGCCAGTAAAAGAATTATTGCTCTTTTTTAAAGTGTTACTATGAAATGACCTAATGAAGGTAACCTAAATACAGTTAGGCTCTGTATGTCCTCCCTTCCCTTTATACACCTAAACCAAAAGGAAATTTCAATACAGGTACCTTTATGATGTGAAATATAAAATAAGCTTTGCAAAACTTAACATTACTTTCTCCAAGATGGTAAATTTTCACAGCCCACTTTTGTACAATAGTCAGTCCTTCATATATCTTGAGCATGGGTTTTATAGTGTTTCAGCTGCTAGTCCCTGATGAAAGGGAAACTTGACAGTTTAGCTCTCAGACAAGGACACAACTTCTGCTCAAGAAGTGCAGTTCAGATAGCTGAATGTTGGGAAGGTATGTTAGCAAAATACTACTTTGTATTGGTTGATCACTGTTCAGGATCAGGTAGGCTTTTTCTCTGAACCACATACTGTTAGGAATTTTCTTAAATTTTAACTTACTCTGGTTTTGGAGCCAGTCTGTTGCTTGTTTCCACTACCTCACGATCCATGGTACTTCCTTTATAACTGTGGGGATCTTAAAGCTTTAAGTTGTCCTGTAAATCTGTAACTAGCGAAGGTCTCTGTCTTCAGCATGAAAGTCAGCTGGGGGACTGGGATAATATCTTCACTGCATCCCATAACTGTTGTAATCCAGATTCTGTGGAAAAATTATCTTCTATATGGAGAAATGCAAAGACCTGTAAATTGCTTTTATCAAGTACACTGGCATGTACATTCTTGATAATTAAGATGCACTCCATTTAGAAGTACAGAGCAAAATTCTTACTTATGTGTCAGTGCTTGCATGTTAGTATGATAAGTAATATACTAATTAAAAAATTGTGATGCTTCAGTGGATTATATGGTGCACTAAGGAAATGAAAGTTCAAAAGGATTCTTTGGTTAGGGATATCTTAAAGTGTCTTTTAGCATAATTTGATTGCTTGTTGAAATGTTTGCAAATATATAACCAGCAGTCTTTGTTTAATACTTAATTGAAAAATTCTTTTAGCACATTAGGTAGAATCATCAAAGTGACCCAAGAAGTGATTGACTACAGGGCCTGGATTAAAAAGAAGTGGGGGAGCAAAATTAATTTATCACCTGAACTTGGTAGGTATAGCAGGAATCTTTGAAATCAACTTAAGTTTTTTTTCTGGAATTTGATGTAATTCAAAATACTCATGCTTTGAAATCAAACACTTTCATATAGGTAAGAAAAAATAAAAAGACTTTGTAACTTTTTAATCCAAGAGTAGTTTTCTCAGACTGTTTTTCCATTAGTTTGTTAAACTGCAGCTCTTCTTAGACTTCAAAGCCTATGTGTTTGTAGTCTGTACTCTTACATGATACTTATGTTTTGTGTTAACAGATAATAGGTTGAAAATAAGGGACCAGATAGCTCCGTGCAGTGGAGAACAGCAACAGAACAGAGACTCTGAACCATCTTACAACCAACGCTTGGCTTTGTCATTGGCTAATACACAACAGTTATCCTCTGGTTCATCTGCCTCTTCTGTATCATCACTCTCCGGCAGTGACATTGTAAGCTTTTTCTTTTAATGGGTTAAATTAACTAGCGGAGTTTATCATACTCTTCAAAGCTTGAACCGATACAACAGCAGTTAATGTGATGCTATCCTTAAGCTGCTATAGCAAGTTAATAGCTTCCTCTCCTCAGAAAAGTTACTGAAATCAATTTTTTTTTTTCATTAAATTAAATGGGTCTTAATTCCATCCTAAATCTTTGGTACTCTTTGTGGTAGTAGTTAGATGTAATAAAATATAATTAGCTACTCTTAACTTGGGTTTTTAGAAGAGTACAAATGCATCTTTGTAAATCTTCCCATCAAGCAGAATCTCCTATTGTCAAATTCTGGTCTTTTTTCCCCACACCCTAAACTGAACATGAACATCATATTGTGCTGTGAAGGTGAATAATATTCCTTACTATTTTTAGCCCAGAAGTTCATGTTTTAATGGTAATGGGGCCCTTGTATGTAAAGTCTTTCTGTCAGCTTCCTTGTTTGAAAGTGCAATATGAAAGTAATTGCTGAGCTTTATTGTAACTTCTTGGAAGAGGAGGCTGTAGTCTTTTTAGGTATGTTCCCAGACTCTTTAAGATTTGTTTTTGTTTTGGTATGAAGTTAAATCAATATGGAATTGGGCAGTGCAGATTATAAAGCACAAAATTGCATTGCATGGCATGAGGTGCTCATTATAAATCTACTGAAGCATTTTGTGCTAGGTAGAGGTATTGGCTGGAACAAAATGTAATATCCAGTTAACTACACTAGTGAATAGCTGGGTGATGCCAAGAGAGATCCAAGTACCTGTTTCATGACTGCTTTCAAAAACTAGTCAAATATGGATTTAAAAGTTGGGAATTGTATTCAATAAAAATTTAATAACTTTTGAGGGGCAAGCGCCTTCTTTATATGTTCTGGTTACTTTCTGTAATTCCTTTGTCCTACTGAATTTTCTGTGTTGAATTGTCTTTTCACTCCACCCACCTCCAGTAAATACAGTAAATGTTTTAGTTGCAACAGCTGCCTAATTGAAAAAGAACACCATGATGCTTGTCAGTGATACTCTAGCCATGCTCCTGGTTTGAGTGTCAGTGAGATTCTGTTATGATGAGTTTTATAAGAAAACCCAAATATTTGCTTACTATTATGCACTCCCAACATAATGGGTGGTGAGTGGTTATGACCTCCCCTTAGTCTCATTTTGCCTGATGTTGAAGATGGAACTTCATTGCCTGATGCCAGAGAAATGAATGAAAAGTGAAAAGGAAGCTTTCATCAGGAAAGACCTGCATTCAGTTTGAGCATCCACAAAGTAAATGGAAATTCTATTCTTTTCAACAAATAAAAAGCCTTATACCCATGTGCTTGTGACAGACCTTAGTTTAAACCCTGTTCATTTATTGGTATTATGTCCTTAGTAGACTGCCAGCACATTACCTTAATCTGTAATGGAATCACAGGTTTCTGACAAGTAATTGATGAGTTCATCCTAATCATGCTTGGATATGTGAGGATGAGCAAGTTCTGGTTGAGCAGTCCTGAGCTGCACCTGATTCAGGAAAGAGAAGCCCATTCTGCTACAGTTGAAAAGCCTATCTGTGGCATGATCTGGCATAATACTATGCCCATGTTCCAGCAGTGGAACACCTAGAATGTGTGACAACTGATATCTGTGCCAAAACTTCTGGTGCATGCAAATAGGCATGATGCAGTGAACTTTGGTATCAGCTTCTGAACGAAGAATATGAATATAGTACATCTCATCTCTGTAGAGTTATATGTAATATAGCTCTGGTCTTGTGGAAGGATTGTTCTTCAGGAATGATTCTGTTACTCAGAAGATTCTTCTCCGTTACTAAAGACTGAAAGCAAGGTACAGATTATAAAGAAAGTGTAGGAAACAGGAGGATCCTAGATAGACAATTTGCTGTTATCTTCCCAATAATTAAGGTTGTATTAGCAAAATATTCATCCCTCTGTCAGTGTTAACCTTAAGCACAAGGTCTATTTCAAGACACTGTTTTTGAAGATGTATTTTGCATGACTGCAGAATCTTTTGCTGTGTATCAACTACAAGATCCTAGCTGTCAAATTAGAGGGACTTGACAGTGTATTTGCTTTTCAATTTACTGCTAAAGTTTCACTGGTAACAGTCATCAGCTGCATCTTGACCTTTGAGATCTGCCTACCAGTATAATAAAGTCAATTTACGTATGTTGAGGAAGTGGAAGTAGGCTTAGTAACTTGAGACTTGACTTGGTCATACTGCCCCTCTGAAGTTCAAGTATTCCAGCTGTTTAGCACAGAGGTAGCTGTATTCTGAAGTCATCACATCATTGTAGACTGGCCATAAGTATGGAGGTCTAGCATATGTTCGTCAGTATGTCTGGGAAGCAATATTGACAGTATATATTAAGTATGCAAGTATTGTCAAAGCAATGCTTGTTCATAAGGATCTTAGAATTTTCATTAAACCCTATAGTTTAATAGTTGTAACAGCAGTTAATTTAGTTGGTTGTATTACAGCATGCTGTATGTTTTTTAAGGATTTGCTTACTTGAAGTTCTGGCAGCATTACAGATTTTGCCTTATTCCAGAAATAAGGCTCAGCAGCTGAACAGATGAGCCTCCTGGTGTCTTGGACTTGTGGGTACTTCAGAGATAGCAGTGCTTATAGATTTGTTCCAGCAGCAGGAGAAACGAGTGTCAGAACAATAAAAAGGAGCAGGTTTTTGTGGAGACTGGATTGGCATAAACCAGAGCTAAGATTTAGAAGTCAGTCTCTCAACTTTTTTGTGTACTCAGAAAAATGGAAGTGTAGACCTGTAAGATCTTAAAGTTACTACCTTGAGTTCTTTCCATTTCTGCTACTGCTTTCCTTCCTCTGGGGACCGTACTGATGGTAAGCTTTTGAAGATGAAAACCTGTGAGCCACTGAGGAACAAGAGAACTGCCTCCTTCAAGGACAGCCTTCTCTTGCCCCATATATTTTAGATGTATATGGTTTTCCACAGTATGCCACCTCAAATTCAGGAGGATGATTGCTTTCATCTCTGCATGTCCATGACTAACTTCTAGGGGAACACACTTCTGGACCACTGTTCACACACCCCAAAACTAAGAACTGGATCTAATGAGACTGAATCATAATTTGTACAAAAAAAATCCTTTTATGGATTTTTCCTAGGCAGGAAAACTACTTACAAAAATGCCTTATGTCAGCACTATCTGGCTGATGAAATTCTAGTTGTACTGTTTTTCTAAGTCTCCTAGATAACTGCAAAATCTTAATCACAAAAGGAAAGCTTTCGTAAGGACCAATGAATTTCAGATCAAAGACTGTGTAGAAGAGAAATTTGTCTTCTGGTATCATTATTGCTATTAGTGAGCTGTTCATTTTATGGGTTTGTCTTACTGTACATGTCAATACAGAACTCTGTACTCTCTCACTGGCGCTTCTAATGTAGTTCCTTGCAAAACACTGAGTACTAAAGTTCCTGCCCTGTTACCTCAGCTCTGTGAAGAATGTGAATATTAGTGATCAGGTGCAAACTGAGGAACACATGGAAATAAACCTGTGGATACAAGGAATTTGATCATCAAAATGTATTCAACTGTGCATACATTTTTAGGGATTCTGTTAATTATCAAACTCATGTATGTAGTTAAGTCTTTTGTCAATGAAGTATTCTGCTGTGCAGATATTTAAAATACCATATGCTGCACTGACAAAAAGGCAGTATGTATTCTTCACTTTTTCTTTCAAACAGGTAAGTTGCAAAATACTATATATTCCCACATAACCCAACAAATGTTGAAGTGACTAATAGAAGATGATTCATAAATATCTTTGACATTAAGGACAGTGCAAAGCATGTGAGGTTTTACTCATGGGAGTAATAGTCAAACTGTTCCACAAGAGAAAAGTGAGATTTCCTAAGCCCCTGGCATTAGGAAATCTCACTTTAACCTTCATACTGAGTTAAGTGATTGTTATGAGAACTGAAACCAGATGAAATGAGCTATGTTTGTCCCCAGCTCTGTTTCTTCTGGATAGTTGCAGATGTCAGTCTGAGAACCTAAGCAGTAATGTCTCGAAAATGCCTTTTTTTCTTGGGTGATTTTTTGTTCTGGACCTGCACTAAGTAACTTGTGAACTGGATTTATAGCTGTTTAAGCATTGTGGAAAGCTCCTTTTTATTAGCTGAGGTAGTCCTAGAGTAGTGCTGGAGAATATCTGCTGCCTGATCGACAGTGTCTGCCAAGTGAAAAATAATCCTAGGTATGTTTTGCAGTCTCATTTTAGTCTGGTATAATTCCTGGTGCTAAGTATGCTTTGCAGTTTTGATGCTGCTATGCCATATAAAGCATAGCATTTTATGTGACAGTGATACCTGCATATCAGTAACAGATGTGATGGCTCATAGGAAAGTTTTAAAGCTCTTTTCTGTTACGTAATGGTTATATAATCTTATATCCAGTCCAGAATCTGAAAGTGGTCTGTTAGAAGTTTGGATCTTAAGAAATCTCATACACCTTATCTCGGTGTTTTTGATGATAATGTTCTTTGGGTTTTTATGACAAGATTAATTCCTGAAGAATTATGACTTCTCAAGACCATGCGGCCATGTCAAGGTAGTTGACGTTTCAGTGAATGAGGTACCTGTGTTAGACTAGTTTGGGGGAGACTAGTTTGCCTCTAGCTTTTTAGCATTTACAAAATTTCAGACTGTTCTTGAAATTTCAGCTGTAGCCACTGCTGCTCAGGCTTTATAACGACCTTTCATCTGAATGTCAGTCCTTGATTTGCCCACCACTCTGCCCCTGTCAACTAGGGGATATGCCAAGCAATACCTTAAGTGTTTCATGGAATGTGTCTTTTCACTGTCTTAAAGAATTACATATTCACTACTTTGGTCATAGGTTTACATTGTGAGAGTAATATGTAAATGTCCAATAAGACTAATACTCATTGTTCCTATAACTCTGCTGAATACATAGATCCGTGCTGACTTT